CCTGGAGAGAACATTTCTCAGCGTTACTGAGGAGCTAGCTCCTTGAGCTGTACTTCACTGTTTTACTGCACCCTTGTAGAGTACTGAGGATGAATAGATTCAATTGACTTGAAGAGTGGCAGAACTGCTGACAGATGAGACCTCCAGCAGAGCAGTGAAGCACAGAGGTGAGGAGAAAGGTGCAGCAGCTTGCTGTCACAGTCACTAGGCTCATTTTCTTTTCTCCCTGTTCCCTCTGTAACACCCTGAGCATGTCCCATTTGGGAATATCTTCATTGCAATGACCATCCATCAGCCTCAGTGGAGGGCAGTAAATAAAAGAATATCCATGTTCACTGGGCAGTGCACTTGAGAAATGGGAAAACACAACACTGTCCAGTAAATACACCCAGTCTGTTTACCTGACACTACATTGTAGAAGAGTGCAATAAGAGCTGGCCTGTGGTCTCAGTGTTCAACCATGACTCCTTTGCACCAGAGAGCCTCAAGACATCTACTAAATACCAACTCATGCCTGTGAAAGCTCTGGCCCAGATTTTACACCAACTTAGCTCAGTCACAGAATCATAACAACTCTTATTTTGGATGCAGTCCCCTTTTCAGACCCAGCACTGTGAAGAACTGTGAACCTTTGCCAGATACCGCAGACTGCCAGTGTTTTCGGTGTGAGTCCATACTCCTCACCCATGCTTGTGACTGTCACTGAGTGCAGAGAAACAGTAGGATAAAATACATTGGCCATACAGATTCTGTTTTTCCCTACTCACCTCAAGTGCTGACAGAGGGAACTGCACAGACAAAGCCATCTCTGAAGGCTGTCAGAGGCACACTTGCTTCTGGAACATGAACTGAGGTGATTGCTAAGACCTGAGCTTGCGTTTGTGGTGCTCCCATCAGCAAGGCAGAACACAAGCCTAACACGCATCACAGACTCCTCGAACCCTGAACTGCAGGCTGCCAGCGTAGCCAGAGAACCAGCAATCTCATTTATGCAAAAACAAAACCAGAAAGACAGCTCCTCCTGATGGGAATAAAGATTATTTCCAGCCAAGCAGCATAGATCCTGAATTGCAAATTACGATAACAATATTTCCTTGTTCAGAAGTGACTGTCTCATGCCAAAGAAACGCCATTAGCATCAGAAACCCCATCCAAATAAATCACTGGTGAAAGCTCCAGAAATGGGATACAAAAGGAAGGGAGAGGCTAGGGCCCTCTTTGTAACAAACTCGCCATGCTGGAGTGAAATAGACCCACAGTAAACAAGGGGCCTTTTGTTTCAAAAAGTATACTTTGGGCAGTAGGAGAAATGTGTTACTTGTACCTTGGCAGTACTCCCAAATGCAAGCTGAACAAAGGACTGGTGACGTAATTAGGCCCACTGCAGACCCAAAGATCTGGATTCTGTTCCTGGCTCTACCACAGCCCCTGTGTGACTCCAGGGTTATTTCCCCTGGCCAGGACTCATCTTGCCTCACTTTAGCCATCTAAGAGACAGGCATCTAGGCTAGGTGCGCTGCCTAGGCTCACTCTGCTGTCCATGGGAAGGACTACTGGGCTCCAGGCTTACGACAGGATGGATGGCCTCTGGATGTGCTGATCTCTCACTGCTGACTAAAGGAGAAGGTAGGGCAGAGAATCAGCTCCTAGCTGTTAGCTGGCCACAGCTGGCTGAGATGAAGTATGCCCTCAGTGTCTGCTACAAAAATGGGATAAGAAGTCCTCTGGATCTCTTGCCCACTTAGATGGCAAGCCACTGACTTAGGGGCTGCCTTCCTCTGCATCTTTGCACTGCCCTTGCCACAATGGACCCTGGCAGAACTAACACAAACAACAAATACTTCTGCACAATTCAGAAAGCGCACATCAGGGTCTTGCTTAGTTTAACAAGTTAGAATAACTGTCTGAACCGGCTAAGCAGGGAGGCTACCACCCTTGAGCTTGTGTCTCTCCTCTTGCGCCTGGATGACAGGGCATTGGGAAGGCACTGCCGCATTGCTACACTCTGAGCACAGGGTCTGTGAGCACAGCAAGATTTTGATGTGCTGTACAAGGTGAGGAATACACTTAGCACTTCTCACCATGCGTTCTTTTGCAAAGGCTGATCCTAATCTGCTCTTTCGAATAGCTGCTGCCTGCTGAATTAAAGAGATTGTTAGGCTTCTTGGCAAACTAACAGGAACGTTTTCAGGGCTCAGACTGGAGTGAACTTCAAGAGAAAAAACATCATTTTAAGAGGAGAATGAAATGTTGCAATATTGCAAGCAGAACGCAATACTTACTAGTATAAATGAAGACAACCCATCGGGTTTCATTGTCAGAGCATGGAGAAACACATAAGTATGACTATTTGGAACAACACCAAAGGTCCCTGTAGCCAAGAATCTTATTTCCAAGATACTGAGTAGCAACTGCTTCAATATTGTACGAATGTCAGCAAATATAGGTCTGTCTCATGGTACATACTCAGAGCTTCCAGCAACTCACAGTTATGAACTTACTGAATCATATGGTTTGTCCTGCCAACAGCAAATTGGGCCTCCATTAATTTATCTAACCTCTTTTGAATCCACGTCTATCTGTCCTCCAGATCACAAAGGAAGTAAAGTTCTACAGTTTCATTATGTATGACATTATTCTGTTTTAAATTTGTCTTAGTCCTGCTACTCCATACTTTCATAAGGTCTCCCTCATTCTTCTGTTATTGGCAATAATAAACATTTGACCTCCTTTGACATTCTCCATGCCACTCAGGATTCTACAGAACCACACCAAGTCCCTCCCCCTTGTCTGCTACAAGAGTCCTGGTCTGTTTATGCTCTCTAATACAAAAGTCTTTATACATATTTCTGTTCATCCTTTCCTGGACCTTGTTTAATCCTTCCACAGCATAACGCATACCTCTTCAGAGTTCACATCCAGAACTGCACACAGTAATCAACATGTCAGTTTATCACAAATTGTTTTGTTCTCTTTCTAGTTTTCTATCATTGTTCCTACTGCTGCTTAATATGTAGTTTTCTATTTTGGTTCCAGTGTATCCAGAAGTCTTGTTTTCTTTTTCTTTCATAGTCATTCCCATCAGTTTTTGTTTTGCCTTTTTGACTACTGCTGAGCACTACCAAGTGTTTGAAAAGAAACACGTACTTGAATGACTTCAAGATCACTTTCCTGAATAACAACTCTCCTTGAAGCCCAGTGCTCAGATTTTTATCCCACATGCACTGTATTCCTCAACAAAGAATTTTTTTAGTCGTTTTATCACAGCTGAGAGCCCTCAGTGCTCATTCAGAAAAAGGTGTTCCCTTAAAATAAATACCAAACAACTTGCCTTGGCAGTGCAGGAAATTCACATCAGATTCTAACCCTCAGCCCAAAGAACACTAGAACAAATGTCCACCTGTAATTTGCAAGCACGTATAGCTGAAGTGAAATGTCTGGTGGGCAAAGATGTAGCTACTGGTAAGGCTCTCTCTTAGGCTCCTCCACTCTCTGTCCTCCACAAATAATTCCTAGGGCTGAGGTATTTAGGGTAAAAAATTTTAGTGCCTATCATGCTATCTGCAATTCTCAACCACTGGTTAACTGTAGCACCATGACTGATCTTTATTTCAAGCCAGACGGACAATTATTAGTGCCTACAGAAGAGTCAGCTTTTACTTAAATAAATAAAATGGTAACACGCAGAGAAGCAGGACTGTACTGCAGTCTGACTGTTCTGCAGTCTGTCTTCTTCTCACAGCAAGGAGAAGGCTCTGCGTCCTTTGCGGTACTGTTCTTTTCTCAGCCTCTCTCTGCTTTGTGTCGGAGTTAATGGTAAGATCTGGAGGGACATCTTTGCAAGGAGCAGATGCCAAGTCCCAGAGGCACTCTCAGGGGATCTGAAAAATTTGTTGAGTAGTCTCCAGAGAAGATAATGTTGAGGAGCCAGCACTACCTCTAGGAGAAAGACCCCAGGAAAACTTGTCTCAAACTGGTCTCCTCCCTTTGACAATTTCTTTGGGAAGCAGTGGTCGTGAGGGGGAACTACCAGAATGCTGCCCCCTGCCTAAGAAGCTATTCATGATAGTCAGCACTTCAGGTAGAGCTAGAAAGTAGAAGAGAGTGAAATTACCGAAGAGAGAATGTTTATTCACAGTGGCATTACCATCCCATCTACACAGCAGTAAAGGGGGAGATGTGAAGGCAAGAATTTAGAATACAGCTGCCAGTGTGTCTGTAAGCAACAAAAGACATGGAACAGGAGGAAATGCAAGGCTGTTGATATGTATTTCCATGTTGTAATAAAAAATAAAAATATAAACTCAGCAGATAGATGTAATGCATACAGCAAAACAACTAAACAGGTGAGAAAACATCAATTTGTTAGAATTCTTTTCCGTTTCCTGAAAGTGAGAGCAATAATAACGGACAGAGATTAATACGGAGTAACACAGCAACCCCTGAACCTTATGTTCAGTGCTACTCAAAATTATCCCATGTCCAATCTCAGACAGTACAGCAGGCAAAGTGCCTTTTCACAACAACCAGGCCTGATGTGCCCTAATGGAGAGGTTATCCTTTGAGGCACCCCTGTAAGGTGTTTCCTAACAAGCAAGCAACGAGTTTACACTTAAGAGAAGTCTCTCATGATTAGCTTCTGGCAAAACACAACATATCTGGTCTTTTAGCAATTAGAAGGGCAGGAACAGAGAAATCAGTGCCCATCAAGTAAGATAAAAATGATTAAGTGGTGCTTCTAGAGGCAAGTCCTTGACCAAAGGGAGACTCAGCACTGTCATAAGCCAAAAGCCCTGGCTAATGCTGCCTATGCCTATGCATTTCTGAATGCTTTTGTCATGGAATCCCTATCTTGAGTTAAATCTCAGTTTAGAGTTTTGAATCAGGTGAGTCCTTGCTATGACATGTAATCCACACCCCAGAGTATTATATGATTTGATCTCAGTGCACCTGTTTATTATTGTAAATCTCTCAGTGATCGTTTTGCATTTGTTACTTACAAGAGCCATACCCCACTGCAAATAGGTCCTTGTACTTTGGATTCCTGTAATGAGAAAAAACATGTAAGATTGCATTTATTATTAAGCATACAGTTGTACAGAAATGCACAGTGTTTCACCATAATATCAGAGTCCATTCTCACTGGACTGTATACAGTCCGAGGGCTTGACCCTTTGAACACATGGGCTACAGAAGTCTGTGCATGAGTAATTCTTTCAGATTTAAGATGCATAAGAAAATAGAACATCAGAAGACCACAGCAGTAGAAGAAAAGGATAAAAAGGACACAGACAGACATTATGTCAATCTCTGGAACTTCTTATCCATTTCATAATCATGGAAAGTTTATTTTTAAAAATGAGGTCTTTGAGGAAAGGAAAAAGGCAGGAATGTGTCGATTTCCATCTTTCAGGGGCAAGAACAAAGGAGTTTCTAAGCCACAACAGAAGAATGGGATGCTTCAAGAGACAGCTATCAGTTCATGAATTCATGATCATTCCCATCGACGAGCAAGGAAAATTCCCTTCTGACCCAGCTGGTGAACAGCATACTTACTGAGGCTTACTGACTATGAGCAATTAGCCATCTACTATGTTTTCTGAGGTCTCTTTACTTGAAAAACATCTGCCTTCCTTACAATATCCACTGTGTGTGGACATTTACTTCAGGGTTTACATGGGATAAAGGTTAGTACTGTTGCTGTCCTTGAGCTCACAGAGCACAACCAGTGGTTAACAATTCTATGAAATGAATGTATGTGAAAATTATCTAATGAGTGTTTTCTCTGGCTTGCTATTCTGAAACGATAAAATAAACCATTTCTCTTTTCATTTCTCCTCTCCTTTTTCACTTAGGCAAATACCGAGGTATCCTAATGCTCTCGCTCTATCCACTAAATGCAGTGTCATCACTTACAATGTCAGAATAACAATTAAATTAGAAAAGCTTATTACATAAGGCAATTTGAGGTCATTCTCCAATTTCAAGGCCATTTTTCTTTTACCATTTCCTGGAGACAAGAATAACAGCAGCACAAACTACCTATAAAAGATGTCTTTCTCCCAATTTCATATGTCATTTTACTGTTATTTTGTAATTCTCACAGAACTGCATCCTTTATATTCTATTAAAGTATAATTACTGCAATGGCTTGAAAGGACAGACCAGTCCTGCTCTGTCTCTCCATAGATACTCTTTGGCAAGGCACAGATGTGTCGACACTGCCCCACAAACAAGTGAGAGGAGACCTAGCTGCAGGGGAGCTCAAGGAAGGACCTGACTCTGTCTGTCTCATGCTCAGTGCATGAACCGAGCCAGTTCTGGGGAGATTCAAGCATGTTAGAAAGCAAAAGGACTCATTCAGGTTGGTGATGAGTGTTTTTTTCATGCTAACAGCTACGTCAGTAACATCTCAGAAAAAGAGAGTTAATTTGAAAGTATCAGTGATTGTTTTCGGACTGACCAGAAATAAATATGCAAAAGTTGACTGCAGGGTAAATGCCTACTAACATGAACTGTGTAAGATCCCAGTACACAAATATCACTGTTGTCTGGGCAGCAACTGAATATGTACCATGCATAAAGGTCTTGTCTGGCATCAGTGCTTCAGCGTCTTATAGTCTATGGTGATACTTATCAGGCGCATGCAATGTTTGCGCTTCCTTTTCTGCTGCTTCAGTTCTTTTGTGTTGATACTTGTCAAAAATATACCCACTATCCCTTCTCCTCCCCTCAGCTATTCAGCATTGATTCCTACTGCATATTGTCCAAAGATATGACCTGTCTGTCACACCCTTCCCAAGTCAGGACTCTTTCTCGCTCTGCTAACTGCACCCACTTTGCCCTAGTGCTGCACAGAGCCTGCTGTGCCTTCACCTTTTGCTGAATGGCACAAGCCTTGAAAATTCAGCCTTACACAATGTGCCTTGCATCCAGAAGCACCAGGCACGTCTAGGTCCTGCCAAAGCAGCTGACTGTAATTATTTAAAACAGTGTTCCCAGAGAAACCAGCCCTGCCTTGTAAGGTGCCACGACATTCAATTCCACTCCCCTGAGAACTGCCGAGAGTGAGTTTGTAATAAAGAGATTTACCAGGAGATGGCGGTAACTGCAAGTCTCTTGGTTTTGTCATACTGGAACTTCCAGAGTGGGAGGAGGGTTCCTTGCTGGTCTCTGTATTCATCCGAGGCATCCTCAAAATACTTAAAATCTAAAACAAAAAAAAATCAAGGAAAAGGCCCCGGTGAATAAACAGGAAATAAATCAGCACGGTGTAGTGCCAGGGAAGCTTTAAAAAACACTTTTTCCTCACGGTCTCTGCACAGCCCAATTGTTAGTATAAAAACTGTCTCAGTCCATAAGTCTCAACTCCAAAACAGCACATAAGTGCTGTGAATGCGTTTTACCAAGCACCAAGTCCTCATACAAAAAAAGCTGATGATCTAAAAGCAGTTGAAGGATGAACAAGAAAGCAGAAGCCCAGGGTCAGGAGTGACCTCAGGCTACTCCCAGAGCGACCTGAGAAGCAGGGAGCTGAGCAGAGATAGCAAAACCCTTGCAAAATAACATTGAGACTGATAATGTCACCATGGCTGGGACCTGTATGCCAGCAGAAAGATGCTTGGCACTGGCTGCTGTCACCAGCACCTGCATCCAGGTGGCAAGTACCTGCTGAAGGAGGGAAGTGTCACAGGAGGGCAACGCTGACCAAACCTGCTGGCCCCAGCCTGCTCAGAGCAGGGCTGAAGTGGCATGCCCTTTGAATTCCTGCTCTCTGCTGTCCTGTGCACCTTGTGTGAGTCAGCAGGTTCCTAGCCCTGCTCACTTCAGCTGTGTTTCTGTATTCTTCTATTCCATTCCATTCCACCCTTGCACTCGTCAGCAGGAGTTCTGACTTGAGTCAGAAGAATCTCCCAGCAGGCCCATACCTTGTGCAATGTCATCAAATATGTTTTGATTCACCATCCGCTCCATTATTTTGGCAGCCTTTGAGATCTTGGTTATATCATCACTCTGTTGGAAAGGAAAACAAAGAGGAGAAAATGTATTTCCCATCTGTATACAAGCCCTTCATACTTTGTGCGACCAAAAAATTTTGACCCTGAATACAGGATAATTTGAAGCTCCTCACACCAGCAACTAATGATAAGGGCACTTGAATTAAGGCAATGACTTTATTATAATTTTAGGAGGATGTCATCCACAGCTGAGCCATAGTAACTTCAGTGTTTGTTCCTGATGTAGCTCAATTAGCAGTCACTTCTCTGTGAAGGCAGTTAGAGTCTGGTCTTCCTCAACTCATTCAAGCCACCTCACAATAGAATGAGATAAAAGCACACACATGATCCCACCCCCACCTCACTGGATACTAGTTCATTAGATTCAGTAATGAAATCACAGATGCTTGATCTCTACCTGGAGAGCTTCAAGGTCTCATGTGTTAAGTAAAGATCACAGGATTTAGAAATCCTTCAGTCAGTCACCGGGTAATTCCAACTTGATGCATTCACAGATGCATAAGCTCATACAATACATAATCAACATGCAAAGGACAGTTTTCTGCCCAACTCTTGTGGAAACTGTTTTGATACTGTGGAAAATCCCACCCTTCTGGCCAAGGAACACCACAAGCGGGTAAGCCTGCATATGTGAAGGTATGCAGATATATCTTCTGTGTGTGTATGCGCGATCACTAGCAAAATCCAAACTGGATTAACTGGCAAATAAGACAAGAAGTCTGAGTGCCAGCAACTGATAGGACGGATCTTAAAAGTTCCCAGACTGTGCTGGGCCATGAGTATGATATCTGCACAACTCTGCACAATGATGTGAGAATGCCAGGACATACGCACAGTCCTCTGACAGCACGCTGCTCTGAGGACCTGAACTGTCATCTACTGCTGCCGCAAAGGCCCATCAGTGTTTCAAAGCATTTCATCTTGGAACAACTGCTAGGGACTGACAGTTGCCAGCACAGCATGATTTCCTCCACAGTGACGACACTGAAAAGAAACTTGTCATCCTTGACACAGCTCAGAGAGCGCTGTGAACATGAAAAGAAAAAGTGAAATGACTTGCCAACACTGCACTACACAGTCACAGTCAGAACCAAGAACACAACTCCAGATGCTGCGCGTCCTGGCCCTCTGCTTCTTTCTTGGGGTCTGCACAGACTCACAGGAGACTGAGAGTCTCGCTGCAAAGCGCATGAAAACCAAAGGACTACACAAAGATAACAAGACAAAGAAGAAAAAAACAAATTCTATAATCTGCAACATTTTTTATAAATCCACAGTTTGCCTACTCCTTCAGTAACGTGTGTGGTTGTCTCCTCCCATCTCCAAAAGGATAAAGTAAAACTTAGAAGCAAGTTCAGAGAAGGGAAACAAGGACAGTCCAAGTCTGGAATGGTTTCTGTACCAGGAAAAAATGAGTAGCTGGGACTTGCCAGTCTGGAAAAGCGATGGCTCGGGAAGACATGAGACAGGTCTAAGAAATCCTAAATGGCCCAGAGACTCACTGTTCATTGTCTCTTCTGATACAAAAAGTAGGGGTGTCAAGTGAAGCTAGTGGAAGTCAAGTTCCAAATAAACGAAATGAGGTGACTCTTACGGAAGGATGACACATCTGTGAAACTCCTTGTCAAAGGGTGTCATAGATGCAAGCATTTTACATGGTTTCAAGGAAGATCAAAAAAGTACTTCCCTCCGTGTGCCAAAGCACATCAAGCTTAGTAAACAGCTGAAAACAGTTGAAAGCTGGAAGAATATTTGGTACTGGGGTAAACTCTTGCTGTGTTCTAACCCTTCTTTACACACTCACTTGTGGTTAGAGCCTTGATCTGGATCATTGTTCTCATGTTCTTCAGGTTTTCCCTTGGCCTGTGGGAGAACTTCTTGAGAACACCACAGAGAATTTACTGTCATGTTCAGAATTTAAGAAAGTGCAGGAAAAGATGTTTTCAAATTTTAACACAGCATGATATTCCCTAGACATTAGGGATTCATAAGTATTAAGAGAAATTAAAGAGGGAGACAAAGAGGATTCTTGAAATATCTCAGGTAGAAATCAATATTCTCAACAGCCGAGCTTTCTCTCTTTTGATTTTAAGTTGCCACTATTGCTTCTGCCACAATAAGACCTGTCTTTCTCTAAAATGCATCCCAAAAAAAAGCAATTCACCTTTGCTAACACTTGTTCAGCAATATTGGGACCATGACTATAAACATGTCATTGGCTGCCACCAGCACAGTGCTCTGTGCAAGCTTAATTGACACAGGTTAAACGCTGAAAAGGTGACAACAGCGCAATAAACTCTTTTCTCTCCACCATTGTAAAAGACACAGTTATGAGGTATAAGGAACAGATCCCCTGGAGTCCTGCTGGTTCATCAGGCGTGTTAGCTAGGCTGTCAAAAATCTCTTTTCCCTTTTAACATGTACATGCTACCAGAAGAAGCTGGGAAAGAATGGCAGTGCTGTACCCTACAGACATGAGCAGGATCATGGCTCTTGTTCTCTCACACATCCAAGGAAAACCGCACTGCAAGCATTGTGATTTTCCAGCCTGAGACATCATTCTGGACTGAAGATCAGAAGATAAGGCTTACTTTACGTGTTCTCAAAGATGAATGCAAGATACTGCCTCATCTGTAAGTTGGGGTTTTTTTGTCAGCAGAAAGCAGGCTTTACAAAAAACAACTGTAAATACAGAAACAATGTATTATTCAATGGAATTTTTCCCACAATGCAGGAAATAGTCCAGATTAATCAAAAGAGCTTTCAGTCAGCTTCCTGTTAGGTAGCTATTCTGCTAGCAATGCAGCCATGAACAACGTCGGCATTAAACTGGATCAGAGTATGTTATTTTCTCATTGCATCCAGTCCTATTTCAGGTTTGATTTATTCTGTACGCTCCTGAAATAAATCTTCAGTGGAAGTGATAGGCCTAATTTATTCTTTTTATTAAAGATCTGTTTGAAACTCTTTTTTTGTGGTAGGCCAACTCTGGGCTACTTAACCAAATGTAATGCGAGCTCATCAGCTAACAAATTTGTTTCGTTTATTTCTGTGCATAAATTATTTTTAGAACAGCAGTAATGTTAATGGAATCATATGTAAAATGAATAATGGGCTAGTACTTTGAAAATAAATGTCTTGGTCTTGCCCTAGTATTCATTAATACTAATTGCTTCATATTTGCCTCTCAGCAGCTGGCCAGTTGCAATGGTAACTCCAGTAACCTGAAGCATGAAAAAAGGCTTCTGCTGGTGTATAATTGCATATCCAGAAGACAAATGTCACCCTAAAACCAGTGCAGTAACTGCTTATATATCTGGCAATACATATACTGCAATACATGTACTGGCAATACTGTAAGAACTCCTGGTTTGCAAAGAAAAAAGCACAGTGTAGGGGTGTTGTCACTTCTTTCCCAGCACTGCAAACACACACTGCCAAACCCAAACAGAGGCCCCCAGGCTAAAGCCTGTCAAGTAGTTATCAATTTCCAGAATTGTACTGATCTGTTCATTTTCAATGTTTGCTTCTAATTCTGATACTCTGTACACAGCAGATTGAAGACAAGGGAGTTGGTAACAACTCATCCACTCCTTGGGATGACCAGAACAACTGAACAATAATGTGAAGGTTAATTGCATTTGAATTTCAGCTCTTATTTCAAAAATAACTGTGGTCATCCAGGAGCTTACAGATGATAATTATGACCCTGTGTGCTGGACTGTCTCACCAGGCATATCTCAGAAAGGGGTAAGGCTATAGTGAGACAGACAAGTCAGACAGGACCTGACATGATTCAGGAATATACATTTCTCTGCTAAATATCAATTTTGTTTGGACTCTAAGAAACTGTTCAACCACTTCTGCTTCAGAGATTAGAGACTGTTCTGGTGCAGTAAGTTCCAGTTTTAACATATTCCTAACTGGTCCACATCCACCTGTATTTCCGTCAACACTATCCTCTGCCTTGGTAATTCTTGTCCCTCTCTGTTATCTACCTCAGATTCTGTCTCTACCTTTGCATTACCAGATAAATATGCTATGATTTTTTAGTCTCTCATATTCAAGCTTTCCATTTCTCATATTCTCTTCCATATCTATCCAGGTTTGTAATCTATCCTCTTTGAAAAGGGGTGATCAAAATCATGTACCCCTGTACTACTCCCGATAAGGTATCACTCTGCCTTATATAACAGGAGAAGTATTTCTCTGCTATCCCTTACACAATATATTCCAGCAATGTACTTGTCTTCTCACAGCCACATCACAACTCATCAACCTATATACTCATGTTTCTCCCTGTAGCTTCAAACTGTAAGCCCTCCCCTTATCAAAGATTGCTTTGATAGTCCAAAATGCAGAGTCTCCCTCTCCACCAGTCCCTCCCAATCTGTACTAATAACAACTCTTCTGGTTTATCTAATTTCCTACGGGCACTATAGCAACAGCTTTACAGAATTTCAACTAGATAATCTTTACTGTACTTTCCTTGTTAAAGGAAACTACAACTTTTCTTTTACGAAAGAAAGAGATGAGATTATTTGGACACAGCTTACCTTTGGTAAACACATGCTATTTTATTCCATTTCGTATTTACTCCCAATTCTCTGTTCTTTCCCTCCGTATTATTTCTGTTGCCTCACACACTGTTAAAGGTCAGACTAATGGAAACATTTTTACCCCTTGTGGTCAAATGCCGATTACATAGCTCCACCCCTCTTTAGAAAGATTAATTAAAAATCCTTGCTATTAGACTTGTGATTTCATGCCTTGTCATCTTAGGGTGAGAGGAGCTGGCCTGCATCAACTAATTGCACTAAGCTCTTTGTTTTACTTCTGTCTCAGCTCCTGTGGTTTGTATGCTCACTCAACAACATGAGGAGGGTAGTACTGGATCAGACGAAGAGTACCTCTGGGCCAGGATCCTCTCTGTAACCACAGCCATAAGCAGATGGCTCAGGAACAGGAAGAACAGGACAAACAGATACAACACTT